GGGGGGGGGGGGGGGGGGGGGGAACAGATGATACAAAAGGAGGGGAAGGGGACCGAGATGTTGAAGAAAGCGATAAATGGGCAACTTCAGGACTTGCTGAGCTGCAGCGCGCGCAGAGCACTCGGGCACGGGATTGCCATTCAGTACAAGCGGGAGGAGATGGGGCACAGAGTCACACAGTGCTGAAGGAAGAGACTAGCTATCTATGGGGCTGACGTCTTCCTCCGAACACAACACACCCTGATCTTTCCGGCTCGATATAGTCATGATGAGGGCGCGTTGTGCTCGGGGGAAAAGCGTACCCATCTAAATGGAACGTGATACGAGTCAGCAAGAGCAGGCACAGGAAACGAATCAGCACGAGCGGACTATCTATCTATCTAATCTAATCTAATCTAATCTAATCTAATCTAATCTCGATCGAATTTAATATAATCTTAGATCGAATCTAATCTTATCGAATCCAATCTAACCAAATCGATATCTATCTATCTATCTATCTATCTATCTATCTATCTATCTATCTATCTACCTATCTATCTATCTATCTATCTACCTATCTATCTATCTATCTATCTATCTATCTATCTATCTATCTATGCTCCGGTCCCCATCGAGTTGGTCCCAATTGGGTGAGTTGGATGCTTTAAGCCACATCGCGCAATTGCAGTGACGTTGGCTAGGCTTTGATTTAATTGAAAGCCCATCAAAATTGGTTGTCAGACGGCGCACCGTAAAAATAGGGATAAAGCTATATTTTTATCTACAGAAGAGGTTATGCCCAATGGATTATTGGAACCATATTGATGTAAAGCAGCAAAATGAAGAATACTAGCACCTGCAATTATAAAAGGATGTAAGTAATGAAGACTAAAAAAGCGATCGTTAACCTAAACGAACAAAAAAAGCACCTCAAAGACTGGATCAAAAAGTAACAATGTTCAGAAAGAAGGTCCAAGAATTCAACCGAAATGTCTATCTATCTATCTATCTATCTATATCTATCTATCTATCTATCTATCTATCTATATCTATCCATCTATCTATCTATCTAATGTAATCTAACCATATCTAGATGGAATTTAATCTAATCTAGATCGAATCGAATCTTAAAAAATCCAATTTAATCGAATCGGATCTATCGAATCTTTCTATCTACCCACCTACCTAACCTACCTACCTACCTACCTACCTACCTACCTACCTCCCTCTCTATCTATCTATCTATCTATCTATCTATCTATCTATCTAATTATCTAATAATCTAATGTAATCTAATCTAATCTAGATGGAATTTGATTTAGGGCCTCGCTGCACTACTTTCGAAATGTGCAAAACGAGAGTGAATCTTCCGCTAGAATATGGAACGATGCACGGCCATGATTTTTGTCTTTTGTGCATGTCGAGAGTAGTGCAGCGAGCCCCCTAATCTAGATCGAATCTAATCTTATCGAATCCAATTTAATCGAATCGAATCTAATCGAATCTATCTATCCATCTATCTATCAATCTATCTATCTATCCATCTATCTATCTATCTATCTATCTATCTATCTATCTATCTACCTACCTACCTACCTACCTACCTATCTATCCGTCTCTCTATCTATCTATCTAAGTATCTATCTATGTATCTATCTATGGATGCACACAGCCACACAGTGGTGAGGAGAGGGTGAGGAGGAGCTGTCATGTATAGCTAACGGGTTATGAGAAGACACGTGGCGCCGAGTGATCGTGGAAGTGTGATTTCGCTTAAAATGCAAACTTTTTCGTTCGAAAATGCAAAACTTTTCATTAAAAAAATAAAAATGCAAGACTTCTCTTTTTTCCTACGAAAGACACGTGGCGGCGAGGACAGCGCCATGCGCGTGATCGTGCAAACGTCATTTCGTTGACATGCACTTCCTTTCAAAAAAAATTTGCACGAAAGACACGTGGCACCGGGGAGAGTGGCGTGAGCATGACCGTGCACGTGGGATTTCGTCAAAATGCACAATTTTTTTATTTTTATTTTTTGCACGAAAGTGTGAGCGATAATCTACTTTTCTTCACATTACAAAAAAAAAAAAAAAAAAACAGTAATACACATGGACATCCTGTTGAATACCGTAGGGCGTGTTGCAGGAGAACGATCCTCAGATGGTGGGTCCTCATTCAGAAACATACTACTAAATCGTCAAAGTCACTGATTTCAGTGCGCGCCACAACGAGGGTCACTACACGCCTTTCTTTTTTTTTCGTTCTTTTTCAATTTCGTGCACGAGCGATCAAAAGTGTCCGTTTTGCGGGAAACTTTTAAAAATCGCATTTTTTCGGTTCGGTGGATTAGGCATATTACAGTAGTAGCTTAGGGCCAAGAAGGCAACGAGCTATTGAACGATGTACAGGAGTAGTAGTAGTAGTAGTAGTAGTAGTTGTTTAGGGCCAAGAAGGCAACGACCTATTGACCGATGTACAGTAGTAGTAGTAGTAGTAGTAGTAGTAGTAGTAGTAGTAGTAGTAGTAGTAGTAGTAGTACCGATGTACAGTAGTAGTAGTAGTAGTAGTAGTAGTAGTTTAGGGCGAAGGAGGCAACGAGCTAGTGAACGATGTACAGCAGGAGGAGGAGGAGGAGGAGGAAAAAGTCAAATGCAACGATGATTTGTGTTAATAACGGATGACAACGATTGATGAACACTGGATAAGGCATTTTGCGATTTGGGTGTTCGCTTATTTTCATGAAAATTGTCACCAATCGCGCCTTTTCTGTTCCGAGCTGGTGCTTGTGACTATTTTCATGCAACATGTTGGCTTATGGTAGGTAGCAGCAAGGTAAGGTCTGAAATTGGGGGGGGGGGGGAGGGAAAGGTTTGTGAGATCGACCTGCGGAAGACGAGACTTTGTAAGATTTGGGAAATCGATTTGGGAAGAGAAATGTCTAACGGACGTGGAGATTTCTGTTGGACTATAAAAGAAAGAAACAAAGAAAGGTGAGAGGTTAAAAAAGTGCACAAAAGATCTGGTAGTGGAGTTTTTCTACTGCGTCGCCACGTGTGCAGATCGGATGTGCAGAGGCGGAGACGGGATTAGTAGTGGATTTTGCCCTTTGCTCGGCTTAGCAAAATAGGAAGGAAGAGCTGGATGTGCACAGGTTCGCAAATCGATCCAAAGTTGACAAGGCGGCAGGCAATAGTCACATCTGACGGTGGTGGTTCGTAAGAAAACTCATTTATTTATGCATCAATCAATCAATCAATCAATCAATCAAACAATCAATCAGTCAACCAACCATTGAAATCTACCAATCAATCAACCAATCAATCACCCAACCAATCAATCAATCAATCGATCGATTAATCAATCAACCAATCAACCAATCAATCAATCAACCAATCAATCAATCAACTAACCAATCAATCGATCGATTAATCAATCAATCAACCAACCAATCAATCAATCAATCAATCAATCAATCGATCAATCAATCAATCAATCAAAACAATCGATAAATCAATCTCGCAAACAAGCAATCGATATTCCATGACGTAGCTTTGACAACGTATATTGCTCACAGCTGGAACGCAATTCGATCTGTGAACGAGAAAAGAAAGCTAGGATGCTCTTCGCGATAGCAATCAACGAATCCAGCAAGCGAAAGGTGAGCAAAAATGCGAGATCGCTCGACATACCGACAGAAAAAGGAGGACTCTCTTTCCAATCCCGATGATCACAGAATCATCCACGCGGTCGTTGCGACTTGCGCTTGTGTCCAATCTTGTTTGGTCACTCATTCACCAACTGCTGCGGGGGGGGCTGCTCATGTTGTCCTGAAGCAGAAACGTATATTGCGTCCAATCTTGGCCAGGTGCCCCCTATTGTTGATGTCAGGAAACCTCTGATGATGAAACGTAGAAATCGACGGCTCCGGCAATTTCGTGAATCTCGCACTCGAAAGGTGCAGATCGCCTGGCAAGCCTGCGCATCGCTGACGTGGCGCCTCCAAGCGCAGGCCTGGAAGCCTGTCGACGTTGTTTCGGCGGAGAGCGGACAGCGCCTGACAGAGACGATGAGTTGAGGTCACCATGCTGGCGTGGCAGCACCTGAGGCGAGGGACAGGTCAATTGTGCAAACCACGCGTTGAATCATTCCCATACCAGTACAACACGCCTGCAGACTCCCACACAATGGACTGATCACTCAATACATGCTGAAAAGGGGCGACAGAGGCGGCGGGGGAAAGGGGGAAGGGA